TGCGAGGACACTGAGGAGGAGTTGGAGAAGGAGGAGGAGGATGAGGAGGTATACTCTCGTTTACTTCCCCCCCCACCCCCAGACTACAGCGTAGCTCCGCCACGCCATGCCCCACATGAGGCGATCCAGGAAGGGCCCTGCCGTTGGGGCATCTCGCCTTCGGCGGAAGCCGGTGGAAGGTGACGGAATTTGATGGCGGCGATCTTCCTGCGGAAGCCAGCGGTAGGTCGGCGGAAGGCTGCGGAAGCAACAGCGAGATGATTACATCTATTAGGTTCAGGGTTTCCAGAGTCGACCACACCAGCATGTTTACTTTCTTTGCGCTCACTTCCTGCCTTCTCACCATGCGGCTGTTGCATCGCTGCTGCACGCTTTGGGACCTGCCATGCTCACGCCGTATCGCTACGGCCTCATTGTCAAACCCCATCCGACCTAAAAGGCATGAGGATGTTATTGTTTGTTGCTACTGCGCAGGGGCAACAGGCATCATGGCCAGATTATTTGATGAACCGACGCGATGCGGACAATGACAATGACGGTGACGACGAGTATGATGAGGATATGGATGATGATGACGATGATCATGCTGATGATGACGATGATGATAATGACGATGCTGATGATGATGATGGTGGTGATGATGGTGATGATGGTAATGTTGATGAGGGTGATGATGGTGATGACGACAAAGATGAGGAGGAGGAGGAGGGAGATATCCCTCAAGGGCATTCTCACCCACAAGCTATGCTGCCGCAACCGACGTGCATCTTGAGAGATGGCCTCCACCAACCTCCAACCTTCCCTACCTCCTGGCTCCCTTCTCGATCTCATTTCACCCGCTTGGCCTCGCTAGCTTTCCTCACCCCCACTCCTGTGGCGGCGGGATGTGTGTGGGGGGGGGGTATAGGGGTGGAGTGGGCCGGGCCTCGCCCCCAGGCCGTCCTGGAGCCAGGGCGGCCGCGGCAGCAAAAGCGACAGCGCTGCGCACTGGGCAGCTCTGCCCAGCTGCCTACGGTTCCCCCTGCTGCTGCGCATTGGGCAGTTGCCTCCCAGCTGCCCAGCTGCCGACGCATTGGGCAGATCTACCTCTGCACTGGCGCCACGGAAGGCAGAAACCTCCCTCCGGCATGGCGGAGATCCCTCCCAAGTGGCCCCCAGCTCCGCGGCCTGGGCAACCCTGCTCCTGCTTGCAGGGGCGGGTGCCGGTCGCGGGGACGGGGGACAGCTCGGAGGGTCTCCGCTGTGCCGGGGGCGACGGCGAGTGGCGCCCGCCGCCGCCGGGACAACCCAAACCCCACTCACGCTCGGTGGAAACCTACGGGGCGGCCCTGAGGTCAACTTGCTGGGAGCGCTGCGCGCTACGCCGGCTCGCAGGCGAGGGATCCCGCCTTTTGGCCGTGGGGGCGCCCTTCTCTGGGGCTTCGTAGGAGAAGAGGGAGAGGCCCTTGGGCCATCCGATTCGGCGAGCGTGGCCAGGGCAAGCCGCCGCCACACGGCCAACGCACCGGCTCGCTACCCACAGCCACCGTGGCACCTCTCCTCTCCTGGCCTTGCAGCCTCTGCCGGCCGCAGCGGACACACCGCAGCCTGTGCCAGCAGGCTCGCTGTCCCCGCCAGCCGCCTTGCCCCCGTGGCTTCCGCAGCACGCTCCCTACACAACACTTTTTTGATCGCGAGCGACGCAGGCAGCTGCGCGCCGTCAAGGTAGGCAGAGGACAGGCCAGCCTAGCAGGACAGGCGGGAAGAGGGAAGAGGCCACAAGGGTGGCGAGAACCACGCGGCGGAGGAGACACGAACGAGAGCACACAGAGAGGGCGAGGCGACGAAGAGCAAGAGGGCGAAAGAGCAGCCCACTACACCACACGCGTACCCTCCAGTAAATGCTCACATCGCCAAAGTTGTGAAGGTGCCTCGGGCAGCCGCCATGGCGTTGGTCACGGCCCACTCCTGCAGCGCAGACGGCTGCTCGCTCTCTACCCGCACGCAGGCGCTGCTGCACTTCGCCTCCTCCTCCACCTCTGTTAAGAAGGGCGCCTCAGACGAGGTGGGCCCTGAGCGCTCTCCAGGGCGCCACTCGAGGTAGCCTGTTGACCCAAAGGAGAGGACCCGGCACAGCCACAACAAGACCTGCCCCCTAGGGGCCCGCCCAATATGTTTACACTCTACCGCCACGCCACAGGCTTGCTGCTGCGCCAACCGCCAGCCCCCAGTTTTTCCCTGCCCCTGAGGCTATGATCGATGCGATCATCTCACCTTCCTCCCTCCTCCTCCCTGTCTGTCCACTTCAAGTTGTCGTTCCACTACTGTACCCTACTCCCCCAGGGCTGCGTGCGGAGCACTCTCATGCCATCAGGGAATCAGGATATCAGGAGGAGGACGACAATGATGAGGATGGCTGTGACGATTACGACGGAAATAATGACAATGACGGCGATGGCAATGGAAATGGTGATGGCAATGGCAGAGGACATCCTCGATACCCGCCTGGCCCTCAAAAAGT